TATATATATATATACATAGATATATATATATATATATATATTTATATGAATTTATGCTATTTACAGTCCATCGTTATTTATTGCTATAATACATTTTTACACAGATATTTAAATCGTCGAGATCATCGACGCCTCGCGCGAGTAAGGACGGAACGTTCATTGTTTTTAAAAAAATTCTCTTTCTTTTTTATTATTTCTCTGTTGTTTTTCTTGTTGTTGTTTATTTTTTTTTTTTTTTATGTGCTTTTTCCTTCTTTATTTTATTATACAATTTATTCGTTATTTATAATACGACGAAGAGCGACTATTTTTCTTCGAGAAATTCGAAATAGGAATAAAACATAATAATATTAATAATAATAATAATAATAATAATAAATACGTAAAAAAATAGAATCCACGAATACGAATTCTATATAATAATTTAATCTCAACTTCAACTACAAAAATAAAAAATAATATTGAGCCAATAATAGTAACACAATAGTAAAGATAATAAAAATTTCATTAAATAATACAACTGAAAGCTCGAAGCTTTTATTATAATAAGAAAGTTTTATATCTCGATACTATAATATAAACAGAAAAATTAATCGCGTTTTAATGTCCGAAAAAAGGAAAGAAAAACAAAACTAAATTACGAAGAAAACAAAAGGGAAAAGGGAAGGAAAAAAAGGGTACAAAATCAAAACGAACGAAAAATCAATGTTACTTTTTGTTTTGGCTTTTTTGTGTTTTTCGATCCATCTTCACTCGCATCGTGCTTCGATAATTTTGTGTTTCTTTTTTGTTTTTGTTTTTTTTTTCTATTTATTTATTACAATTAATCCCTCCCCCCAACTCCTCCCATCCCTGCTCCCATTTAATTTCCCTTTCCCTTTTTTAATCGGATCGCAAATTATGTAATTCTTTTGCTTGTTGTTTCTTTTTTTTTTTATAAATAGAGAGGTGAATCATATATTTTTTTTTTTGGAAATTATTTTTCTTTTTTATTATTTTTTTTTTTTTTGTCTTTTAATTCTTTTGAAGTAAACACGGCTCGTCACTCTTCAACATGACCTTGTTGGTCCTCGTTAACGATGTCTAATTAGCATTTCTCGTTTTTTATCCCGTATTACAGTCTTTTCCCGATCTATTTACAGAGTCAACAGAGTTTAATCAAATCCACTCCGGGTTTACGTCTTTTCCAATCGTTTCTATTCGTCTTTTTATTTTATTTATCTCTCTCTCTCTCTCTCTCACACACTTTTTGTTCGTTTTTCTACGGCTTACTTGCATTCGCCCCCCACCCCCCACCTCCCACCTCAACCCCATCAACCATCGAATTTATCTTCTTTTTAACCGGAAGCATCGATAAATCACATCATCATTTTCTTTCGTTATCTTTTTTCCCTACCATTTGTTTTATTATTATTATTATTATTATTATTATTATTATTATTTCTTTAGTTTTTTTTTATTCTCTTTATTTTATTCGATAAATCACTAACGTAAGACCGCGGGGCTCCTATCAAAATTAATTTCACAACGTAATCATTCATGATTTTTGTTCTCATTCGTTCGTTATTCTTTACTTTTATTGTTTTTTTTTTATGTTTCTAAATTTATTTCAACGATTTATATCATATA